ATTATGTTGAGCGCCAGTGAAATGTTAGCAATTTTACTATTAGTTCAGGAAATATAATTTAACACTTACCAGGCTAGCTTTCTCGTAGGATAACACTCAATTTAATATAAATTGTAATTTAAAGATTAAACGTTTTTTTTAAGTATTCGGGATTTAAAATGAAATTATAATTTTATTTTTTTTTTTAAATGATTTGATTGACAATTAAATTAATTCTGTCAAATTTGCACAAATAACTTATATTACTACTAACTAATTTTATTAGAACATGAGTTCTCATCTCAGAAGTCGGTTCATATATTAAATTTTTACTGGTAACTGAATTTGAAAAAAAGAATTAAATAATATAGTGTGATCTGGGTTCAAACTTTCTATTGACATAAAGATGACAAACAAATTACTAAATTTTTCTATTCCCTATTTAACCTGCTCTACCTTATATCTATTCTATAAACATGTACTTATTATCTTCTAAGAATAATTATTGTCACTCACTTAATATCTATCAACTATCCTTCTTTCTTCCACTGTCCTTGACCTCTTAAGTCGGCACTTTCCCTCTGTATCGTCTCTTCGGTCCTCTCCCTTCTAGGCGTCCACTTACTCTCTCCTTGTGGTTGTCTAGGTATGCTAGATGGGACTTCTAGACTCGCCTGGTATCTCGCACCCCTTGTCTCCTTTATTCTTGGCTAGGATAATTCGGAAAATTTTACTAATATAACCTTTTTAATATTAACGCTTTAGTTATCTGAATCCCCTTTCACTATCTTCTAATACTAATTCTTTTCTCAAGAAACTTTTCCTTCGGGTTTTCAAGACCGGCTTTGCAATTTTCCTTTCGTCGTTTATATCTTTAATTTGCTTGTATTTATATAATCTTGTATTCTCCTTGACAATTCCTCTCTGCTTTTTCTATCTTATTTATTATTATTATCAATCATCAATGTTTTTTTTTCCGTCTCCTAGATCACTGCACACTTAATTTAAAATACAAAATTTCTTTTTCATTTAACCAATCAGATCACTTTAACTTTAACATTTTCAATTTAACTTTTCCAATATTATTTAATTCCTAATTTGCTATCTAATGCCCTTATTTTATACCCACTTCTATAAATTTAGACTAATATTCCACCAAAATTCATAGTTTACTTATAAATTGTCATTATGTATCCAATTGTCATCAAATTTCAAATCATTAACTTCCACTGTCATTCTTTGACTTTAATTTCCTTTCATCCCAATACTGAAATTTAAACCTTTGAATTATTGATTCTTCTCAATACATGTACAACAAAAATGAATATTCTATGAATATTTAAATGTTCTGGCCAGATCTCGACTAAGGCTCAGCAGCCATCTCGTCTTAGGTTTGTTAGGTCCATATATAAAGCTATATATTCTCTGTTCATCCTCCAGTTTTGACCTAAAGTTTGATAGGTCCGTTTATTAAGGACCCCGTTAATACTACGTCGTGTGATTCCGAGGATTATTTCAGGTCCCTGGTCAGGTCCCCTGTATCCAAGACAAGCCAGTTGATCTGCCCTCCCGTTACCAGGAATAGCCATGTGACCCGGAATCTAAGCCAACTACACCTCTCTTCGTCTGGCCTATGATTCCAGAGCGCCTCTGCATTGCTGAACGAGGGCTGACCTCGGGGAATTAACCTCTCTGAGCACGACCTTACTATCGGAGCAGATAAAAATCTTCTCCTCTACATAGTCCCTTACCTCCTCATTGCTTGCCACCATCAAGATAGCGAAAACCTCAGTCTGAGAGTTGAGGACCCAGTGAAAAACATTCCTGTATACCACTGCCTTCCAGATAAATTCCTGCTCCTGAAAACTCGTCTCCTACCTGAGATCCATCAGTATAGCATACTAGGGATCCCGGGGAGAACATTCCTTCCTTAACCCCAGCCGGTCTTCTGATTTACGGGTGATTCTTTCAACCTGTGGCCCCGAGACAGTTTATATTATCGAAGTAAGTTGATTTAAATAGTAAAAATAATGTATTTAGTTACTTTATCGAAAGGTGAAATGTAATTACATTAAAATATTCTCAAATGCTTGTCCATTTGTCATTGTTACCATAGATAACTGAAATTGATTTAGTTTAGGAACTTTATATTTTAGCAACATACAACAAGACAGGTTTTTACAGTAAATAAAGTAATGTTTTAAAAACTACATGTGTTTTCTCAAAATCTCTTACATAGACTGAGGGAAAAAATATATGTACACCATCAATGGACATAATGGCATACACCTGCTATAATTTTATCCATACGCGTCTTAATGTGGGTGAAATCTGCAAAGATATACCGAGGGTTCCATTTGAAATAAGGAAGTTGATAGCTTCAACAGTGCGGTCGTTGAAGTCGACAATGTTAAAATGGTGATTTCAAAAAATGTTAGAGATCAATTATTATATATTATTTTTTAATTTTATATAAAAAGAGACAATTACTCAGATAAGAAACAATTAAATATTTTTTAATAATTCAATTTATAAGAAATCGAAATAAAGTAGGTTTTGGACTAAAACTTTTCATTAAGTTCAATGAATTTTAATATTGCATTTTAGTTTTTCTTAAAAGAAAAATGAACATATTTGAAATAATATTCGCCACAAAAACTCATATAGCAAAGGCAAAGGTAAACATAAATAATTCTATTTATACCTACCCTACAAGTTAGCCATTAAAATAAATAATACAATAAAAATTAATGTTGCAATGTTACAATAAAAAAAATGTAAAAATATTCAAAACTACTAGAAGGCTAAAAATTGGTGGGTGTAAAATAAAAAAATAATAATAATTTTGTTATTTGGGGTTCGAGAAATTAAAAATTTTTTTTTAACGTCAAATTCGACGGATATAGAAAATCACGTGATTGATTTTGCGCAAGCCATTCTTCTTTACTCGAACACAATCGGCGACTTCAAATTTTTCTATAATTAATATAACATTTTCCTATACGGTATACACTTACTGATATTGATGAGTATTGGTGTCATAGTATATATACGGGTTCGGAAAGTCCTCATGGTACATCGGCCGTTACGTGAGAGCGATAAAGTAAGTCATAGAAATCCGTGCGATAGAGAAGGATGGCTATAATGAAGGCGTCTCACAGTCACTGCCCGTTTCGTCCTTCCACAAATAAGATCCACTTCCACTTGTAATTCAGCTACCGGTGGTTATCTTTGTTTTCGTCGTTTGCCTTTTCTTTAATAGATGTCACTACTTATACAATAGGGTTGTTGACCAAATTTCAAAAAGAAGATAATATAATTCTACACGTACTAATTAGTGTGTATGCACAATTAGAGATTGAGAAATGCGTCGGAACAGTTTTAAAATAATTTTTTAAAACTGATTTTTTTATAATATTTCAAAACGGCTGTGACGTCATAAGGGGCACCTTGTAGTGAAATTATGTGTAGATGATTGCGTAAAGGAAAAAAATTGGAGGAAGAAGATGCTTTGTCAACACTGTCAGTAGTGTCAGTGTGTCAGTGATATTGTCGCATAAAATATTTTCAAGTCTACGAGTTATTTTCTTAATTTTCGAATTCCTTTATTAAGTAAAATTATTATTTAGTAATAATCATTTAATATCTTCCTTAGAATTAAAGCAGAATGTGTGAAACGGGATTTGTGAAAGCTACTTCGCAAATTTTATCGAAAATTGATATTTTTATGATCATGAATTGAATTTTTAAAAAGAGACGGACCGTTTTAATATTGGTGAAATCAGAGGTATAAAAGCAGCCAGGTAAGGATTAACATATTTAATTAATGATTTTATTGTGTTTATTTATAATATAAATAATAAATATAAATACCTATTTATTTACGGAAAATTATAGTGCAGTTCGGGAGTCTTATGAAGATAATGCAATTGGCTATGTGGAATGTGGAATGTGGAACAAAACACCACTTAAATTTTATTGAATCCATTACAATCAGGAAATTAATAATAACTATTACAAATACTCTTAATTGATAGACTGCTATCACTAGTGTCACTACTGTCACTTTTGTTAAAAACCAGGAAACAGTGCACAGGGTTTGATGAACAATTTGGATAATTTTCTTCTTCAAAATTATGCAATAGGATCGCTACTAGCTTCTTGTTCAATTGCCCCTTATGACGTCAGACTAGTTTTTAAGTAACACAAAAATTCATAAATGATTTCTACCACTAATTTGTCGTATATTTAAAATTTTACTATACAGGCAGGTTCTTTTATATAAAATCTTTGTATCAACAACAATTTGTATATGGTTTGTTTTTATAGTCAACAACCCTATTCCGACTGCGGTATTCCGATATGTTAATACAATCCGTTAACAGAGAGCAGCACAATTTCTCTAAGGTTAGGCGCAGCCCTAGAAAGAGTGATGCCAGATCTACAGATTTTTTTGGAATTGAGGAAATAGGGAATTTTGCTTTATTTCTTGGGATTTTTAAGTCATTTGTAAAATCGATCACTCTTTCTGGGGCTGTGCCTCACCTTAGAGAAATTGTGCTGCCCTCTGTTAACGGATTGTATTAACATATCGGAATACCGGAGTCGGAAATGTATAAGTAGTGACATCTATTAAAGAAAAGGCAAACGACGAAAACGAAGATGACCACTGGTCGCTGAATTACAAGTGGAAGTGGATCTTATTTGTGGAAGAGCGAAACGGGCGGTGACTATGAGACGCCTTCATTATAGCCATCCTTCTCTATCGCACGAATTTCTATGACTTACTTTACCGCTCTCACGTAACGGCCGATGTACCACTGGCACATAGGAAAATTAGTTCTACGGTTAGTTAGTTACAGTTAGATTACACAGTTGCCTATAGAGTTTAAACAAAATATTCCATTCAGTACTCCTCGAAATAATGTATTACATGACGATGAAATGAATGAAAGTTCTTCTATTAACAAAAAATGTTGGATTATAGCTACGTATTCTTTAAGAAACATCAAGCAACTTACCATTTTACTCTTCTTTTCAAGATATCCCGACACTTTCGGGTTCATTGCATTGTCTTCAGCCATATTAATAGATTATCTAGAATAAAAATAAATATTTATAGTAGGTAATACCTGATATAATTTTGCAAAAACCTAAATTGCAGTTCTGTTTTGAATTTTCTTTGAGCCTATGTAATATGTAAGTAATATAGTAGTATATTAATCGCTCAGGTAGTTAGGTGGTCGCTAGAAATGTCTCCTATTTTTTGTTACACTTCAAAATATGAAAGAAAATACAATAATAAAAGTTATCAGTTGTTAATGCACATATGTATATTTCTTTAAAGTGTACTTTTACGTATTTAGATTTAGAATGTTTTCTTAGAATTATAATCATATAGGTAAAGTTTGAGGATCTATTTCTAATTATAAGGGAGTTTTAGCATTAAAATAGTAGTAAAGCATAATAACTTCCTTCTTCAGATTAAACATGCTAGTCCACGGGCCCACGTACAAAGAAATGATTACCAGCAAGCTGTAACTTTGCGTGCAGCTTAAGTTTGATGAGTCTCCCAAGATTTGACTATGAGGAAAATTCAACAGTGGTAAGTTTTCCCGTGATTTTCAGGAAAACATGTCAATCTGGCATAAACATGGAATGTTATGACCAGCACTTTTTTTAAGTTTAAATGAAAGATATATATTTTTTAAACCCCCCAAAAATTTGTCCGACAAAAATGTTGGTAAGTTTGTCCCCCACCCCAAATATGTCGATTTGGTGACATTATGGTTGGTGACAACCAGCAAGCTGATTTTTCTGGGAGGGTTTAATAATAAGATTTGAAATGAAAGTATCTTATTGTCCGACAAAATTCTGGAGAAGTTTTTGCAGTCCGACGCCCCGAAGATGTCGACTTAACGACAATATGGTTGGTGATAACTAGTTGTCGGACAAAAGCATCATTATTTAAAAAAATGCAATATTAATCTGAGAATTTAATTGTCCGACAAAATTAAAATTTTGCGGTTTCTATACTTACGCATGATGTAGAAGATTTATATTTAATAAAAAAAATGTATGAATAAAAAAAATTTTGTTTAAATTTTTCAAATTTCAAAATAAATATGACTAATTTAAATTTATTTTTTTATACAATTACAAAAAAATTGTAGGTATACAGGGTGGTCCCGAGCTAATAGGCCAAAATTCATGGATAGATTCTGGAAGCAAATATATTGCGATTTAGCCGAACTTACCTTAGTCCAAAAGTTGACAGTTAAAGAGATACATGGTGTTAAATGTAAAATATTATTTTAGTTTTTTTTTCATTTATTCCTTAACAAATGCAAATATCCTCACAAAATTTTGAGGTTTGGAGTTCTTTAAGTAGAGGAATTGAAATGTGTTCACATTTTGGTTAAAGTTCATAGAGGGCGCTAGCTGCGGTAGACTAAATGTGTTAAAAACGACATAACTTTTTTATACTTTAAGGTATCTCATCTTTGGTATCAAATTCTTATTTTCCTAGTTATTTTTACACAAAAAAGCTACACTTTATAAAACTAACTGTCTCGCACCGTTTTCGAGATATTTGGCTTTGAAACTTCCAATGCTGTTGAATTAAATTGCAATGAAGTACCTACCTAATCAAATAATTTACATATTCCACTCAACTTATTGCTGTCATTTGTATGCTACTGTCCATTAAGTATTATTCGTACCTAAAATTACATCTTAATTTAAATTGTATGTACATAAATGTGAGAGGGAATGCCGAGACTTCCGTTTTTGGTGTTACATGAAATTAGTCGTTTATGGAGAAACTATAAACACCTATTGAGAACTTTGGTAGCAGGTTTTAAATGCTGCAAAGTCAATTCGCATTAAGAATTTATACTTTACAACAAGACAATATCTTAATAAACGCGTTGATAAATGTATAATAATATTTTTAAAATTTGGTTTAAAATTGGTTTAATTGTTTTTTCAAGAACAAAACTATGTGTAAACTGTTTGTCAAAACAAGATTGCAAATTTTAATTTAAAAAAACAAGCAAAAATTTATACATTCATTTTACAGTTACCATTTTTTATAAAATAGTTACAATAGTTTATAAAATAAAATGTACATATAAGTTTTTTGAACAAAGAAATCATTTTTCTAATAATTTTCTTATTTATTCTTCTTTATTTTTTCATTAAAAAATTTATTATTTTATAGCGGAATGAACATTAGGTACCACAAAAATAGTTATTTTTCACATTTTTAAGGCAAAATTTCCAATCTTTTTGGCGGACAAGTATATTATTGTGTTATACATTCAATTATTATAGAAAAAAATTAAAACCAGATTGCTGGTTATCACCAACCATGTTGTCGTTAAGTCGACATCTTCGGGGCGTCGGACTGCAAAAACTTCTCCAGAATTTTGTCGGACAATAAGATACTTTCATTTCAAATCTTATTACCAAACCCTCCCAGAAAATACAGCTTGCTGGTTGTCACCAACCATAATGTCACCAAATCGACATATTTGGGGTGGGGGACAAACTCAAAATACCAACATTTTTGTCGTATAAATTTTTTGGGGGGTTTAAAAAGTATATATCTCGTTTAAACAAAAAAAAAGTTCTGGTCATAACATTCCATGTTTATACCAGATTGACATGTTTTCCTGAAAATCACGGGAAAACTGTTGAATTTTCCTCTTAGTCAAATCTTGGGAGACTCGTCAAACTTAAGCTGCACGCAAAGTTACAGCTAGCTGGTAAGTAGAGTATTTTAGCCGTCAGAGAGTCTCCCCCCTCCACTTTCTGGCTTGGGATGACCTTGAGGCCGAAGGCCGATGACGTTGGTGTATGGATGACCTTGAGGCTGAAAGCCGAAGGTGACGTGGGTTGGTGACTTTCATTTGACTTTTGCATTGCCGTTAACCTTGAAATTAAATTTGTGTAGTGTGGTGTGAATAAGGAAAATTGTTTATGATCTTCATTTGTCTTACGTTTTAAACATTGCAGTTAACCTTGAAATTAAATTTCAAATATGTCTATCGGTGTGGATAAGTATCTTATGAGGGTGTGGTGACCTTGAGCTAGTTCAACAGACGAAAAAATATCACATTATGTGACGTCATTCGCTTGATTTACGTTTAAACATTGCATTTTACCTTGAAATTAAATAGTTGTTTTAATGTTGTGTATACATTGTGACGTGGTGCATTTGAATTGCAGTGTATTTTCTATATAAGAGGAGATCAGAGTGAAGAATTACATTTCGTTGTGTGCCAACCCTGCAGTGAGCGTCTACAATAGTGTAAATTTTGTGTAATTAAAAAAAGAAAAAATGGGTCGATCAAGTACATTACCAAAAAAAGCCACAAGTTCTAGAAGGAAGAGTACAAGTGTTGGCAAACCTATGCCAAAGGTGACACCGGAGGAACATCAACACCTTCAGTATTTCCAACAACCGCTTGTCAGCAAAGGTTGTTATACCACGACGGCTGCTAGTTCTATGGATGCAATAATTCCATGCGATGACATTTTGTCAAGGGCATTGTCGAACATGGGGAACAACACAATTATGGGTTTGTCCCCAATCAGTGATTTTTTATTACCAAACTCTCCATCGGTTAAGAAGATGGCAACATCTAAAAAATCTGTTGGGTCTTCGAACCGCGGGCAGAATCAGAAAAAAGGAATCGCTTCGAAAGGTAGCACATCACGATTACGGCAGTTGTTGCAACAACCTGCGGTTGAAGTAACGGTACCACAAGCAGAAGCTCCACCACCACAGCCGCCAATTCTCCTGTCAGAACCCCAGGAAATCATGTCAACGTTTGACGATGTGGTTGCATCCATAGAAGTTTCCATAACACCACCTCCAAAAGTTCTCCAGGAAATGGCGGCCACCCAAGTGGAAGAAGAAGAAGAAGCGATCCTGTACTCGCAGGCCGACGAAGCGGATGTCATTTCAGCATTCCTCACATACTGGGAAAAACTCAGTCGGAGGGAGGAACAAACTGAGGAAGAAGTCCGCGTTCTGCGAGAAACTCTCGTAGTTAATACGATACGAGCAGATACGGGTATTGCAGGAGGAGATTGGGACAATACAATCTGAAATTAATAAAAAAGTGCGAAAGAGGGATGAAAGTGGAAAGGCTTTAAAAACTTTGAGTGGACGAATGAAAGTGAGGCGTGTGAATGTTGAATAGCTTTAAGAGGTATAAATATTTTATACAAGATTAATTTTAAGATGTAAATATTTTTTTTATATAATTTAATGTGTATATATTATTTGTATAGTCCAAGAAATATATGATTTGATATAAATATAAACCAATTTTAGAAACAAAACGACGATTCATTCCACAAATAAAAAATAAATAAACTTAAAATGTTCTAAACAAATATAATAATGTGATAATGAATTATAGAATTCAAGATGTATAAAAGAGAAAAGAAATAAATATATATATTAAAATAATAGTCAATATATAGTTCTACAAAGTGTGTGTAATTAATAATGCATAAATAACTATTACAATTCCTAAAATATTCTGCTGTCCTTGTATGCATGCCCTCGTATACATAGTCATTTATTTAGCGGATGAAAGAATAACTAACGAAACGATCAATAAAATAGCCACGCCTACTTAAAATGTCGGTTAAAATAATATTCAAATATATAATATAACCTTCAAAGGACACTAGAAGCGATCGATATTTTATAAACCACGCCTACACGGGAGAAATTCAAATATTTCACGAGTGTGGCCTTGAACGAATACCATACATTCAACGGACGAACCCAAACAATCAATGAGAGGAAAAACGCGCGAAAAAATATATGACTGACTTTACCTTGAAACCATTAATAAATGTTTTTATCAAAATGATTTTTATTAACGTGTCATTACATATAAGTTTTTGGAATGTATACAATATTTTATGTTGCACTACATAATAAAACTTTTTACAGTGCTATTACATATAATGCGGATATTGTTTATTGGGATTTTAATTCAAATGTTTGTCACATGCAGCCCGGCAAATAATTTTGCGCCTTGTGCATTAGAAATAATCGATTTACAAGTACCAGTTG